TTTTTGGTGAGGAGATAGAGGGCTCTCTGCCCTGGATTGTCTCACGGCTCCTGGAAGGAAACAACTACAATGGTCTACTTCTTCGCCTGGACCCCCAAGGTGGTCTGGGGAAGGTGTGGGGTTCTTGGGGAAACTCTGGAATCTGACCTTAGGCCTGCCTCACCCATCACCCAACCAGCTCCAGCCCCAAACCCAGCCCAGACAGAGAGCCTGACCCTGTGGGAGGGCAGCATTCAGCAGGATCCCAGGATGCCTAGGCTGCCGAAGTTTGGAGAATCAAGAGCAAGGTCTGATTCTCCCTTAAGAGGTCTTCAACAGCTTACCAAGCTTTTTCGCTCCAATACCCTTGATTCTCACCAAAACCCATGAGGCAGATATAATTTACAAATGAGAAAAGGGAGGTAGGCCTAATTTAAAGACGAGGAAAGGGAGGATCAGAGAGGGGAAGAGACTTCCCTATTTTCGCATACCGATTGAAAATCAGGCCTCTTGTTTGCACAATCTTATCCATATGTAGAAAATAATAATAATAATTAAATAGTAATTTTAAGAATCCAGACTCTAGAGCCTGGCATGATGGCACGTGCCTATAATCCCAGTTACTAAGGAGGCTGAGGGCAGGTGGATCACTTGAGCCCAGGAGTTCAAGACCAGCCTGGGCAACACAGCGAGACCCTGTCATTATAAACATTTTTTTTTTGAGTTGGAGTCTCGCTCATTCACCCAGACTGGAGTGCAGTGGCTGCTCCCGGTCACTGCAGCCTTGACCTGCTGGGCTCCAGCGATCCTTCCGCCTCAGCCTTCCAAGCAGCTGGAACTACAGGTGTGCGCTACCATGTCAGGCTGATTTTTGATTTATTGTAGAGATGAGGTCTTGCCAAGTTGCCCAGGCGGGTCTCGAACCCACGGGCTCAGGCAATTCACTCATCTCGGCCTCCCAAAGCACGGGATTACAGGCTGAGCCACCGAGCCCGGGCTAAACATTTTAAAAATGGGAAATAACCAGGCCTATTTTAAAAATAAGCTGAGCATGGTTGCTTATACCTATAATTCTAGCACTTTGTGAGGCAAAGGTGGGAAGATTGCTTGAACCTAGGAGTTCAAGACCAGCCTAGGCAACATCGCAATACCTCATCTCTATTTAAAAAATTTTAAAAAGAAAATAACTGGACATGGTAGTGCATGCATGTAGTCCCAGCTACTCAGGAGGCTGAAGTAGGAGGATCGCCTAAGTCAGGAGGTTGAAGCTGTGGTGGGACGTGATCGTGTTACTATGCTCCAGCCTGGGTGACAGAGTGAGACCCTGAGTCAAAACAAATTTAAAAAAAATAAAATCAGGTCTCTGAAATGTTACGATGTCAGGGATTTGGGAGTGGTCAGTAGAAGAGTAAAAACAAAAACAAACAAAGTCTGGCTTTCTGACTATCTCCAGAATCAAAAAATACACATTAATTTGGCCAACAAGTTCCCAGACTGTGTCAGGCCCAATGAAATGAGGAAGATTAATTGGGGCAGTTGATATTCTCAAGGACAGAGCAGTGAGTGGCAGACATGTGTTTATCTATAGGCCAATTTGAAATCATGATTAAGGGCAAGGGTTTTAGTGTCAGACAGAGCTGGGTTTGAGTTTCAGCTCTGCCACTCACCAAGAAGTGGCTTGACTTCTCTGAGCTTTTCAGTTGCCTCATCTGGAAAGTGTGGAGGGGATACATGATAGATTAGAGTTTTGGCCTCATTGGAATACTGTGTGAGTAAAAAGAGGCAATTTATGAACAGCCTTAGCAAAGTGCCGTCAAGCACATGTGAAAGCCTAATGGGATTAAATATTTTTATGAATAGTACTATGAGTTTAAAAATTAGACTTATTACAGGCAGTGTGCTTTGGGTTCCACAGGAAGGAGTAATTCACTCTGAGTATCCTCTTACTAGGTGGCTCCCTGAGTTTGCTCCAAGCTGCTCTATTAGGGGCCGCAGAAAGGAAGATGCGGGTGAAAGAGGTGAGACCCACCTTGTGGGATGCAGTAGAAGAGACTCGAGCCCGCCGGGCTGGGCTGAGGTCCCTGCGTTTAGGCCTCCTTGGGGACACCCTGACTGACAGTGGTCTTAGTCAGCTGGGCAGAGCACTGCGGGAGCTACAGGTAAGCAAGGTGACACCTGGGGGTACTTGGGCCAGCCATGGCCAGTGCCCTCCTAGAACCCTCTCTCCACAGGTAGTGAAAATGTGGAGCCAGTGTTCAAGAAGCCAGATGCTCAAAGGGGCCAGAGCTGAGGTCATAGGGCCCCTAGAACCACAGGTATGTCTTCTCATTCAACCTTTGGGAGCCCCATTTACGTCTGCCTTTCTTCCTCTGTTTACAGAGCACTATGAGGAGCCCTACATTTATTCATTGATTTGTTGATGCCTAAACATTTATTAACCATTCACGATGTACCAGGCACAAATCCATGTAGGCTCAGGGAATTCCCTGTCCTCATGGAGTTTATAACTACTGACAAGAAACAATTGCAACACCACAATTAGTGCTCCGCAAGGCTTTAAACACAGGGTTCTGTGGGGGCATCTAAGTTAGCCTCAGAAAGAAAGGGAAGGAAGACTTCATGGAAGAAGTGGTCCCTGAAGGAGGTCAAGCAAAGAATCAACATTCAAGGCAAAGAGAATGACAGGCAAAGACTCAGGTAAACGAGTGCTTCATCTCTTTGGGGGACTGCAAGCAGCTCAGTGTACTGTAGAATAGAACTTGAGGAAGACAGTCAGGAGAGAAAGACTAGAGGGAGCCGCAGGGGCCAGGTCATACAGGGTTTTATAGGTCTACTAAGATGTTTGGACTTTGTCTTTGGTGTCAGGGGTGAGTCACAGAGGTATTTTAAGCAGGCAAGATAACATTGCTCCCACTTTTCAGGTGAGCAAACTGAGGCTGAGAGAAACAGTGTGAGAGATGTGAGCCCAGGGGTCACAGGCCTAATCAGAGACAGCAGAGGTGCAATCACACTCAAGTTCTTAGACTCCTAATCTGGTGCTCTTTATCTCTTTAGGCTGCATGGCCTTTAATGTGCAGAAGAGAGCATCGTCTTCCATGACTTGCTGCAGGGTGATCGAAACCTTACCCCTCTCCAGTCTCTCCTTGTTCTTCTCGTCCCTTTTCATAATTACTTACAGCTTGTTTTTACAACCTTCAACTTTGGAAATTAGGCATGGTCCCTCCCATTTATTGAGTGAGCGAGTGCCTTCTGCTCAGTGCTTTTTTTTTATTACCTCATCTCATGCTCTCTACAGTTTCTACCAGCTCCATTTTATGGACAACATGGGGAGTCAAAAGGCTAGTCACCTACGTGAAGTCATATCGCTAAGAAAGGAGGGGCTGGCACCCACACCTGTCTGACTTCCAAGCCATGAACTTGAATTACACTGTCCTGGGAGGAAGGGCATGGAATTGTCACTCCTAAAATCTTCTCAGCAGGTGACAGATTCAGCAGCAAGCCACAGCCTAGACCTCGAGGGGGAGTCCCAAGGTGGGTCTAGGACTTTGGGCTTATCCGGGCAGGGGGGGTGGTCTTCTCCAACTTTGGTGTGATTAATTAAATTTTCCTCTAGTGGCAGGAAGAACGGCATCTCAAAGACCCGGACGCCACCCAAAGAATCCTCTCAAGAACAAAGAATCCTCTGAAGAACAGGTAATACCTCATGTACCCCAGGAACAACTGGAAGCTGTTGGGGGAGTGAAGAGTTGCAAAGCCAGCTGATCTGCCTCCTGCTTCCCCTGCCCTGACATCAGGGCATGAAGCTGCTAGCAAAGTGCCTAGGGGTGACTGGATTCCTGAGGGAGGAGCATGGAGAGGGCCGTTTTCCTACTGAGTTAGATGAGAGGTGTGGGAGCCTTATGGCCTCCATGCCATCTCTTGGCAGAGCCAGTACCTTCCCCCTCCACAGCCTCCTGAGATTCTGTCCAGGCTGCAAGCTCTTCCAGGCTAGTTAGGTCCCGGATATAGTTCTTGGAGCCTGGCAGTGAGGTTCTGTTAGAAGCTGGCCCCTGTGTTCCAAAGCTGTGTGCACACATGGACTTCTGGCTGAGCCTAGACTGAAGCCACCTAGGCCCAGCAGGTCCCAGATGTGGCCCTGCAGTTCTTCCTGGCCCAGGCTCGGAGGCAGAGACTGCGAGAACAGCGCCGAATTTGGATCCACGAGAAGCTGAAGCATTTGGAACAGGAAGAGGAAGTGGTGGTAGGTGGCCAGGTCAAAGACCTGGTGGCTGAAGAGCAGGTGGGTAGGGTCAAGTGAAGGAATTGAGGCTTTAACTGGTCCAGGCACTGTGCTGGGGGCTGGGATCCAGGGTCAATCATAATGACTAGTCCATACCCCCTCTCATGGCCCCCACAGCAATACTGGGGACAGATGAGGCAATTCTCAGTGCTAAGTACTGGGATGGGGGAGCTAGGGGCTTGTAGGGAAAAAAAGGTATACCTGACCCAGGCTGGAGTGAATCACAGGAGATGGCATCTAAGCTGAGGCTTGAAGAACAAACAGAAATCAGCCAGAAGAACTCACTAGACTCTGAGTTTCACAATGGTAGTTAGTGTTCATCCCATAGAAGAACTCAGTAAATATAATTAACACATTCAGAAACAAAACTTGGTACATGGTGGGGGATGGGTGGGGACATGTACTCAGAGAGGACGAAACAGTCTGAGCAAAGGTTCCAAGGGAAGCAAAGGCAAAATGGGTTCTGAGACTCCAAAATGCCTGCCGGCTGGAGCTGAACAGATACATAGTCAGAGGCGAGGCTAAAGAAACAAGTACATACTTGTTTCTTTAAAAACACCTCTGGGTTTGGATTTTATCCTGAGGAAGATGGTGAACTGTTGAAAGACATGTGTCATCTCAGCTCTGTCCCTCACTAGCTGTGAGAATTTGGGCAAGTTAGCTCTTTCCTCTGATCCACTGTTGCCAAATCTGTAAAATGGCAATACCCCCTTTGTTACTGGACAAAATGAGATAATACCTGTAAAGTGTTTAGCACAGAGCCTGGCACACAGGTAGCGCCCAGCAAAGGGCATGTATCATCGCTGAAGTCCTGTGAGGAGAGGCAGAGATGGCACCAGGAGCAGACAGTGCTGAGACTTCAGCTAGAGGCCCTGCAGGCAGAGTGCGACACAGCAGAGCAGGACCTGGCAACCCTCTATGACCTGCATGTGCAGGCCACCCGCGCTCAGACATGCCACATGCTGCAGGTGAGTGGGGACAGAGGGCAGGCTCCAGCCGGTTCCACTGGCTGACAGGCATTGCTGAATCTGGGCACAGGTATTCCGAGCCTGGCAGAGGCTGTGGGAAGAGCAAACCATGACCACAGAACATCACCACCGCAGCCTGCTGGCTGGCATCCTGCAAGACACCATCAACCTGGCCACACAGAACCAGGAACTCCAAGCCCAGAACCAGCAGCTTCAGCAGGGTGCAGATTAGACCAAGGCAGTCATGCTGGATCTCTGCCCTGGGGAGAAAACTGGAACTCTTCAGGAAGTCTCCCCTTGTTCTGAGGAAGGTTGGACACAAAATTAATATGATCCTCACCATGGATAATGAAGAACACTAAACATGTCTCATTGCACCAGTCCCTGCTAAGCGCCTAACACTCATTTCATTTAGGCTTTTCAGCTACCCTGTGTGGCCGGTACCAGCTGATCTTCACTTCAGAGGTAAAGCAACTGAAGCTCAGAGAAGTTATGTAACTGCCCAGGGATGATCAGCTAGTAAGTAGGAGAGCCACAATTTAAACTCAAGTCTGGCTACAGTGCTACACTGCAGATTGCAATGGTTCACAGGCTTCACGGTACATCAGAATCACCAAGGAGGCTTGTTTAGGGGAGAAAAAAGAAAAAAAAAAAAGATTCCCAAGCCCTGCTCCTGCAGATCATTCTTCAATAGGTCTGGGATAGGCCCAGGACCCTATTTTTTTTACAAGCTCACCGGCCATGATTTTAAGACAGATAACAGGCAGGAATCAAGGGAACCAGAGGAAAACGAGAGTCAAAACCACATTGGTGTCCTTGAATTTTCTGGCCTAGAGGCTTGATTGTCCTGCTGGGTCCAACACCTTGTTCCCAAGATTCCCTCCACATTCCCCAGGGCCCAAGTTTTGTGCTTCAGGGAAATTTCAAAAGCTCTGTGACAGGGAATAATCTCAGCTCCATGGAGTTCCAAAAGGATAAAATGCCATGGGAAACAGCTTGGAGAAAACAATTTTTTCTCTTACTCTAAAAGTTGCCACAGAATTAAGAGGCTCAGGACCCCAGGGAAACAAAATCATTTGAGGAAAGCAGTGCAAATAGAAGACACAAGACAATCATGGCTGTGGTTGTAGGAACCACCCCACACCCTAGAACACTTTATTAAGACCTTATTGCTTATGCAGTTAGACACACTGATTGAGCTACATAAGTTTCCTGTACCTGGTCCCAGGTCGCTCCGATGCAGAGCTTCCTCAGGCTGTTGGGAGCTGGGAGACTGCTAGATAGGGGCAGGACCCTGTGGGAAGTACGGTATCTCCTCAGAGCCTTAGAGTAGGCAGTGGGCTTCAAGAAGGTCCTTGGGGGTGAGCAGAGAGGGCAGGAGTATAGGCTTAAGCCAGGGCCCAGGGGCAATGTTCCCTGAGATGAGTCAAGCCCCAGCCTTCTCTGGGGTTTCCAGAACAAAGGCTAGGTATGGGAAGCAGCACTGTGAAGGGGGCAGGGGGCATATCCCTAGGCATTGCTGGAACTGGGAAAGATTGGCAGAGTGGCTGTGGCAGCAAGTGGACCTTTCTGCACGACAAGGAGAAAGGAAGTCACCTTTATGGAAGAGTCATGCACCAGTCCTAGGGGCTCTGCTGGGGTGACCAAAGTAGGCAAGGAAAGCCATACGTTGCCCACACTGTATACTGAGCAACTGTTCATGCAGGATGAAGCAGAGAACTCCCTCCGCACTCCATCCCATCAGGGATGGGGTCACTTCTCAGGCCTAGGTACTGGTGCCACCCTAATTCCTTAGTACAGAATTATGGTGGGGGCGGGGGTGGTTAAGAGGTTCCTTAACCAAACCTAATCTTCATGTCTCCTAGGGGTTCCCCTTCATCCACCCAGCTCCAAAGACTCACCTGGCTGTTCTTACTTCCCCAGTTTTTCTCACAAGGCACTTGTTACAGGGCTGCTGAGGGGAAGGGGAATGGGAAGGGGAAGGGAGGTCTGGGATGGGGCTCTGATGGTGGCACCCAATTTGCAGGGTCAGGAGTCAGGGTGGAAGTGGTCAGGGACTAGCGGCTGCCATAGTACAGGCGCACGGCCAGGCCAATGAGCAATGTGGCCAGGAAGAAGGCGGCTGTGAGCTGCACCCGCAGTAGAGCTGCTGAGAGCACAGCGTTGACCACCAGCGAGCAGGACACAACAAACAGGCGTGTGATGCTGCTACCGTGCTTCATGACAGCCGACATGAGCAGTCCATTTAGTGCCTGGCTCAGCACCACAAGCGCTGCCCATCCTGAGAAACCTTCCAGGAGGCCTGGGCCAGGGCCACCACCAGCATGCAGACCTAGGTTCAGGAGCACACCAAAAGTGTAGAGAAAGAGGTTCTGAAGTGCCAGGGGCAGCCGTTGTCGCTTCATGAGCAGCTCTGTGTACACAGATGACAAGCCTGAGATGAGGCAGTACAGGATGAGGAGCAGCAATCCCAGCGGAGTGATATGCAGGGGCACGGGGCTGGCAGCAGCTGCTGGAGGGGGCCCGGGAAGAGTGTTCCTGGGGTCTTGAAGGCCACCTGCTGCATAGCAGGCCCCTGCGATCATCAGCAGCAGCAGTGCTAACCCCTGGCGCGCAGAGAGGCGGTGCCGGAGGCAGAGGCAGTAGAATAGAGCTGTGCTTCCAATCTTGAGATTGCTCAGCACCTGGTAGGTGCTGGGGTCCATGTAACGCTGAAGATAGATCACCAGGTTGTTGTTAGCGCCATAGAGCAGGGCTGATAGTGCAAAGGGAGCAGCTTGGCGCCAGGGCGGGGACCTTTGGGGCCATGCTTGCCAGCCCACTAGAAGGGAGAAGGCGCATAATAGTAGCTTGGTCAGCTCAGTCAGCAGCACGGCTGAGGAGGGCCGGAAGGGCACTCGGCCATCCACGTGACACAGTGCCAGCAACGGGGCATGGGCACCATACATGGCAGTGGACAGGAGTAGCATCAGGGTCCAGCGGGCTTGCCTGGGACGGCCCAGACCTGGCATACCCCCGTCCTCTACACTCATGCCCACACCAGACCCAGGGTGGCTTGTATAGTTAGCAAGGGGCAACAAGGATTGTAACGCCTTTAGGATAAATCAAGTTATGGAGCCAGCTCCCAGGAGGCAGGAGCCATGGTACATTGCCAGAGAGAATACTGAGGATCAGAGTCAGCTGCAAACTCCATGGTTAGACTTGAAGAGGAAGTGGCTGATGGCTCTTGAAGCCAGTCTTGGGGCTAGTCCCATGGAGTTAAGGAGGGAAGGAATCCAGGGTGCAGGCTAACAAGCCACTGTCCACACTCTGCAGGAAGGGAGGCGAGAATGAAGGCGGCAGGAAAGTTTGGGATAGCAAATAGGTGACAGCTGGGGAAGCCAGATGGAGCATCTGTGGTTGAAAGACCTCTACCTGCAGGTCCCGGCTGCTCATCTTGCCTCCCCCATGGCTTCCAGAGCTAGTCAGGTCCCTTGCGCAGTGATCGCAAATAGTCCCTCAATGTCTTCTCCACATTGGGCACAGCATATGTCTGAGCTGCATAAATGCCAGTGCAGGTGCCCACGGCAAAGCCCAGTACTGCTGATGCCCTCAGTTTGGCCACAACATAGCCAGCCAGGAAGCCCTTGAGGAATGGGGAAGACAACAGCGAGCCATCCTGCAGAAAAACACACAGAGGGAAACTCAGTCAGGCTCTCTCCCTTCTCTGTCCAGAAGGTATTACACTTAACCTGAGCTCAGAGCATCCCACCAACTGCTACTCCTTACTCTGAATAGCTGTGGTATTTTCTCCAAAGATTTTTCACGAGGTTCTAGAGCCAGAAAAAGAACCCAGAAGTACTTATCACACAATCTCAGAACGCTGGGGTCAGAAGGCTCCAACCACAGAATCCTGCTGCCACAAGGCAAGAAATGCCCCAAGAAATCTGAGCCCTGCCTGTTTCTCCAGCCTCATTTCCTAGCATGTTCCCCCACAACTGCAGCCAAACTGATCTTCACCCCTCATGTTCATAATGATACTTCCCAACACATATTTCCCATATGCTCTTCCATCTTCCTGGAATGTTCTTTCCCCTCCTCTTCACCCGGTTAACTCCTATTTAAGGCCCCAGTTCAAGCTGGGTGCAATGGGTCATGCCTGTAATCTCTGCCCTATAAAAGGATGAGATGGAAGGATCACTTGAGCCCAGGATTTCAAGGCCAGCTTGAGCAACACAGTGAGACCCTGTCTCTACAAAATACTTAAAAAAAAAATTAGCCAGGCATGATGGCACATACCTATAGTCCTAGCTACTCAAGAGGCTAAGATGGAAGGAGCTCTTGAGCCCAAGAATTCGAAGCTGCAGTGAGCTATGTTCACACCACTTCACCCTGGGCGACAAAGCAAGACCATACCATGTCTCAAAAAAAAAAAAAAAAAGCCCCAAAAGATCCCAGTTCAAGTGCCATTTTCTCAGGAAAACTTTCCTTGGGTGACAGAGGACAAGCCCTCTATAACCTTTTGCTGAATAAACCTCTACCATCCATTCAACACTGTCAAAAGCATGTTGGATAATACAGCCTAAGGAGGGGTTGGGGTGGAACAGTCCCTACCTGGCCCACACCATTGTTGACTTCGTCTTCCACACGCTGCTGCAGGTGCTCCAGCTGGTTCTTGAGAAATGCTAGGTCCTTAAGCTTGGGCAAGGAATCCTAGGACAAGGGAGAAGCTGGCTCCAGCAGTCTGACCCAGCCCCATCCCCTACTCAGTTCCATCAGAAGCTGGGAACTGGGGGGAATGGGGTGAGTCAGAGAAATATCTTGCTATAAAAGCTTCCTGAGATGATAGCAATAAAAGAAGAAAGGCACTGAAAAGCACAGAATTCACATGGGGGCCAGGGAGGGGGTGACAGATGGGATCTGCACCATTAACTTGTAACAACTTCTGCAAGAATTTCATGCAAAATGTGTAGCAAAGGCAGAAAAGACAGCTAGGGGACTTTCAACTAAGGTCTATTAGGAAAGCACTCATGAGTGACTCAACTATGAGCTTCCTAAAAGTGGTGTCCTGTCTGTCTTGGCTGCTGTGTTCCAGTGCCTGACACAGGGACTGGCAGGCACTTAGTAAATGTGTGGATGCTGCCGAGCTTTCATATGAATGGTGAGAAATGATCTGAGACAGTTTTGGGGTAAACTTGATTTCTGCCTGGGCTTTACCCCTTTCCTCCCAAGGCCATCCCAAATGGATGTGACTGGATGCAGCAGAGATGACTGCTGACAAGTGAGTAAATGAATTATTTTGATAGCATATAAGTATGAAATTCAAAGTGTATGCAAGGGATTGTTTGAATGAGCGTGGTGTACCCCTGTGATTGACAACACTGTGTCTGTGGGAGGCTGAGGAATGGGGGAGACTGAGGAATGCTCCAGGATGAATGTGTTTTAGTATGTGCTAGTAACTGCGATTCGTGATGGTTCCTGGGAGGAGGCATCTGGGAGATTCCCGGCTCCACCCAGTGCTCCCCCCACGCAATACCCCACTCTACAATAGAGTCTCAGGGGAAGAAACAAGAGGCACCCCTACTCCTAAGTCGTTCCAGTGCTGCCTCTCCCCTGAACTAAAGAGGTCACAGAGTGTGAAGACCATCTCCGATTGCGGGCCACCCCCACGTTCTCTCACCTTGTCATCCGCCATCTTCCCTGCCGAACTTGATGCGCAGGCGCAGCCCCACCCCATTCATGTCACGTGCTCACGGCCATCTTTACTGAGGGCACAGGCACTTCCGGGTCATTTTTGGAAAGAATGCGGCGCTTTTCTCAGGGGCTGGGCCCTGGCGGTCTCCCTCGCGTAGATACTTCCACGTGACCCCTCCCGTCAAGCCCAGGATGCAGGTGCATGCGCATACGAACTGGGCGAGATGATTTCATTCGTGCGCGAGTGCGCGCCGCGCACGTTCCCCTGGCCTCTCTTCCGCCTCCTGATGCGCTCATAGTTGCGTGGTGCGTCGGTGCCCCGGCTCCGGACCCACTGGTGGAAACACGCGCTCATTCGGGGATCCAGACGCTCGTTTACGCGCACCACCCGTCGTCAGGCGGTGCTGCTCAGACCCGCCTCTTCCCGCCCCCTGGACCGGCCCCTGTCCCGCCCTGTGTTTGTGGGACGCCAGCTGGCCGGGCGGTCTCCAGAGAGGCTGGGCTTCCAGGCGCCGCAGCTTCGGAGGTCGCGGTGGGCTGAGAGTGTGGGCTGGCAGAGCCCGGCGGGGACGCGGCCGGGGCTATGCTGGGCAAGGATTACATGCTGGCCATCATTCTGGTCAACTGCGATGGTGTGCACGAAGGGGCCCGTGAGAAGACAGGAGTTGGGGGGGCGGAGGTGGGGTCGGGCAAGGAGTGCGACTCAGAGACGGAGCAGGGGGACGCCTCGGTGTAAGGACCAGGGGACAAATGTATACTGATCTTTATATGCGATATCTTCAAGACTGGGGAACCTGGACCCCTAGCCTGAGAGCTGTCCTCTTTGGGATGAATGGAGGGAGGGTGATGACAGGATATTGTCTGGACTCACGAATAATATGCTCCCCTTCTCCAATCCCGTGTTCCTGTAGACGACTTGTGGGGAGACCAGAGTCTGGAGGGGGAGCCTGGCCTGCCCCCTGGCTGGAGGAAGATCCGCGATGCTGCAGGTACTTACTATTGGCACGTACCCAGCGGTAGCACCCAGTGGCAGCGCCCAGCCTGGGAACTAGGAGATGCAGAGGATGCAGGCACGGTAGGTGGTGTGTGAGGAGGGGGCCTGAGCCCATGAGTGGACCGAGGCCTGCCGCTACACTGACTGACCCTCACTCTACAGGGGACGGAGGGAATTTGGGGACTGCGTCCCCCCAAAGGGAGATCTTTCTCCAGCCTGGAGAGCTCACTGGACCGGAGGTAACGGATGGCCCAGGCAAAATGAAAGGCTTGGGGTTCCATGGCATTCAAAAATGCAGCTGGACTCTCAGTCTGCTTTCCAACCCAGGTTCTGGACTCTGCCCCATGTTTTGGACTCTGTTCTGTGTTCTTGGCTCTGGCCCACATTCTTGATGCTCAGTATTTTGAGTTTGTCCCTTGTTCTAAGCTCCTGTCTTTAATTACATGTTCTTTTCCATATTCTTGGTCCTGACCTGTCATGTTCTAGACCTTGGCCATTATCTTGTGGAGCCTATGCTGTGTTCCAAGGTCACTTGTCACAGTATGGGGCTCTGGCCCACCCATTGGACCCTGTTCCATGTTTGCGACTGTTATTCTATGTCCTTTGTCCTGAATTTTCCCTCAAATTCTAAGTCACACTTTATGATAAGTTAATTTATTATGTCCTGGGCTTTACTCCACTCTGGTTTTATGGGGTATGTGTGTGTGTGTGTGTGTGTCTGTGTGTTTTAAGTATTTTGCTTTCCTTTTATTTTTTATTTTAATGATGTGGGGCACAATTCAGGGTTAGGTATACAAATGTTCATTATGCAGGTACCCTCGTGGGTTTATGTTATGGTGCTATATTCTGGGTCTTGTCCCTTGTCCTGTATAGATCAAGTAGTCTAGGTCTCACCAGTGTTTCTGCTGTAGAAAGTATGGTCCTCTTACCACCTGTGCTCTGTTCCAGTAACTCTCTGTCCTGGTATGGTGAAGAATCCTACATCCAGAGCATGGAACCAGGGGCTAAGGTAGTCACTTGGGCCTGAGGGCATTGGGAGGTCCCAAGGGAGAGGCCAGGGGTGGGATTCGACTAAGTAGAGGTGATTGAGAGTGAAGTCAGAGGGTACCAGAGGATTGATACTGTGGCATCTGCAGAACTGTACTTCTTTCCTGCTCACTCCTGTCCCTTCCCCCAACTGTTAGTGCTTTGCAGTTCGCTCTCTTGGCTGGGTAGAGGTACCTGAAGAGGACCTGGTACCTGGGAAGAGCAGTATCGCGGTCAATAACTGCATTCAACAGCTGGCCCAGACCCGGAGCCGGAGCCAGCCCCCAGATGGTGCTTGGGGTGAGGTGAGCTGGCTGAGTCCCTCAATGGGTTCAGCAGAGGTAGTTGTCCCTGAATTGTCTATTACCTATGACAACTGCTTTTATCCAAGCTCTGGGCTGACCTCTGTCCTTGGCAGGGCCAGAACATGCTGATGATCCTGAAGAGGGACGCCATGAGCCTGGTGAATCCCCTGGACCACAGTCTCATCCACTGCCAGCCTCTGGTGCACATCCGTGTATGGGGCGTGGGGAGCTCCAAGGGCCGGTGAGGATGCTGCATTCCCCCAAGCGAGAGCTACTTCTCCCTCCCCTCTGCAGGCTGTGATCCCCACTGATGCTGATCCCCAGTACTTGAACCCCTGAACACAGATCCTCAGACGTGGACCCAGCACTGCCTCCCCTGCCTGGTCCAGCCCTGGTTGGGGAGGGTGGGCCCAGCTCAGCAGGGACAGATGGGGGAGAGTCTGAGAGGCTGGGCTGATTCTCTTCTGTGCTCCCACATGCTTCCGGAACAGTGATAGGTAAGTGACAACCAGGTCCCCAGAGACCCAGCCCTGACCTCCCTATTCCATCCCTACCATATAACTAGCCTGACTTTCCAGCCCCCTGCAGACACTGTAGGCCCCTGTTTTTAACCAGCCTCTATCCTAGTCCCACCTCTGCCCCTGCTAGGGACTTCGCTTTTGTGGCGGGTGACAAAGATAGCTGTATGCTCAAGTGCCATGTGTTTCGCTGCAACGTCCCTGCCAAGGCCATTGCCAGTGCCCTCCATGGGCTTTGTGCTCAGGTAAGGGCCAGGGGTAGGGCAGGGAATGTGGGCATGGGGCTGGGTCTGAAGTTTCCAATGTAGTTGGGACATGGTGGTATTTGCCCCCTTCCCCTAATTCGCCTCTCTCCTTGTGGCTTATGCTGGCTACATTGTGTTTTAGATCTTGTCAGAGCGAGTAGGGATCAGTGGTGATGCCCCTTGCTGCTCCCCAGATCCCATCTCCCCTGAAGACCTGCCACGGCAAGGTATGGGGTCGCATTGGGCTGCTTTGGTTTCACATTGGGGGAGGGTTCTTGGTTATTTAGTACTTTGGAGGTAGGGAGTTCCTGAGGTGTCTGGTCTCAGGGATCCCAAGCCCTGAGTTAAAAGAGCAACCATAGGCCTTTTTTCTGCCAGCACCAGTTCACTCAGAAGTGGGTCCTGGCCCACTTAGAAGGGTGGAGAAGGGGGTAATTGAGAGAGCTCTCAGACCAACTTGGTGTGTATATTTCAGTGGAGCTGCTGGATGCGGTGAGCCAGGCTGCTCAGAAGTATGAGGCACTATACATGGGGATCCTTCCAGTCGCCAAAGCCATGGGTGAGGACTCAGGGAGCTGCATGGGGTGGGCTGCACAAGGCAAGAGGAAGGTGGATGAGCTGGATCTACTACCATTTCTCAGAGTCCTCTCATGGCCATGTATGGCCTGGGATGTCCCAGTCTTACCAATTCAGAATTCTAAGCCAGCTATCCTATTCCCATCTCTCTAAATCTCAAGTCAGTGAGAGGGGTCTAGAACTGCAGATTCTTTCTTTAAGACTGTGAAATACATGGTGGACATGTTCCCCCAGGCATGGATGTGCTGAACGAGGCCATTGGTACCCTGACCGCCCGAGAGGACCGGAATGCCTGGGTCCCCACCATGCTCAGTGTGTCTGACTCTCTCATGACTGCACATCCCATTCAGGTACCAGGAGACGGTGAAGCTGGGGGCCGTGGAGGGATGAGCAGTTATGCCGAGCGGTCACTGCTTACTGTTAGACGAGCTCAGTGGGTCCAGCCAGTGCTTGGCCCTCTAGTGACTTGGCCTGGTATGGACAGGCAGAGGCCGGTGCAGAGGAAGAGCCACTGTGGCAGTGTCCTGTGCGCCTTGTGACCTTTATCGGTGTTGGCCGCGACCCACACACCTTTGGCCTCATCGCTGACCTGGGCCGTCAGAGCTTCCAGTGTGCAGCCTTCTGGTGCCAGCCCCATGCAGGGGGACTTTCCGAAGCTGTGCAGGCTGCCTGTATGGTGAGTTCAGGGTGGGAATGGGTGGGTGGGATTGCCCTGCAGCTGCTCTCTATTGTTGACTGGGGCTCAGATTCAGCAGCCTTTCCAGAGATCAAAAGCCTGGGCTGAGCTGGTTCACTAGTGTTTTGGCCCCAGTGCTGTTTTTGGTAAATTTTCATTAGTTGCCAATACTTAAGGCCAGGACATTTCACATAATAATTGCTATTCCTGTTTTTCTCAGAATATCAGAAGCTTTGGCACTGAGCGTACATGTATAAATCACAGCATGCAGTGAGTTGTGTAGGGGCTGTGCCCTATAGTGTGGCATTATCTTTCCTGTTTGTCTCGTTTAGGTTATTTCCTGGCATCTAGGCATTTGAGTGTGGGGTGCTTACACTCTGCCAGTTCAGTTCACTCACTCATTCAACAAATGTGAGTGCCTGTGGGTACCAGGCACCATATTTGACCCTGGGGATTCATAGTATAGAGGGCACGGCCCTTGCCTTCACATTACACTTAGGCTAGAACAGAGATGGACCAGACAGAAATTGTACACCACAGTAAGAGGTGGTGCCTTTGGGGGTCAAGAAGGCTACCTGTAAGAGGTGGCAGAAAACGGAAAGCTGAAGGTCCTAGGAGGAAGTTAGCCAGGTGAAGCGGAGTGGGGCAAGTATGCCAAGTCCAGGGAACCTTAGCTGTGAAGGCAAGAGAAATGTTAGTGGCTTAGAGTATCTGAGGTAATCTAGTGTATCTGGCATGCAAAGGGGGATGTATGAGAGATGAGGGCAGAGAGAAAGGCAGAAACCAGGTCATGGAGGATCTTATAGGTCAGAATGATGAGCTTATTTCATCTGGAGGCACTATAAACCGTTGGAGGGTTTTGAGCCAGACAGTGAAATCAGGTTTATGGATTAGGATGACCACTTAAGCTGTAGTATGGGTAAAAGATTTGGAGGGCATGAGAGGAGGTAAGAAAGGCCAGTTGGGATCCCTTTGAGTACTTCAAATGAGAGATGATTGGGGCAGTTGCACTGGGAATGGAGTTGGGTTGTACACCTTCCCCTTGGGTTGTATACCTGCTTTGACTGGTCCACATCAGTAAGAGATGGAAAAAAGGCAGCATGGTGGTAGGTGTGATTAAGAGTACAGGCTCTACAGTTGGATGGAACTAGATCTGAATGCCAGTTCTATCATTTTCTGGCTATGGGATCTTGGACAACTCATATACTCTCTCTGAATCTCATTCTCATTTGCAAAGTAGGAATAATGGCACCTCATATGTAACTAAGTTATACAAAGCACTTAGTACAGTGTTCAGCCCTCCTTATGGGCTTGATAAACGTTTTATGTTTTTGTTATTGAGTTACCTGGGAATGCTGTAGGGATTCCAGATGTGGCCAACTACCAACCTCTTATCAGAAGCTTGGCCAGTTTCCGGTCCTGCAGAAGTTTTCAGGGAATCTAGGAGCAGAAAGTAGCTGGATCTTCACATTCCCCTTCTCCCTAGGTTCAGTACCAGAAGTGTCTTGTGGCCTCTGCAGCTCGAGGCAAGGCCTGGGGTGCCCAGGCCCGTGCCCGCCTGCGGCTCAAGCGGACCAGCTCCATGGATTCCCCAGGAGGTCCCCCACCTCTCCCCCTGCTCAAAGGAGGGGTTGGTGGTGCAGGGGCAGCCCCTCGAAAGCGGGGTGTCTTCTCTTTTCTTGATGCCTTCCGGCTGAAACCCTCTCTGCTCCATATGCCCTAAATTGATCTGGGAGGGTTGGAGAAGGAGGCTCTGAATCCATGCCTAACTCTATCCCTCCATTTCCCAAGGCCTACAGCCTCTAATCCCTTGGAGCCTTCTCTGCCTGTCCCTCTGATCCTTACCCACCCTGTATTTATTGCCCAATTTGTTGTTTATATGGGTGACTGAAAGGCCCTTCACCACATCCTAGGACCCTGGCTCCCCTTTCCTTGGGTCCTTGTGTTCCTTGCCCCTGTCCAGCCCTGGACAGTTGGCTCTACCTCAGCAACACTTTATAGCAAAATCAGTGCAAATAAAAATCCCTCAGTGACCTCACTGGGTGTGAGTATATTGGGCCTGGGACAGGGCTGTGGGTGTAACCTGTGTGAGATGAATGTCTTTGTGTCTGTGCCTGGTGTTGGTGGCTGCCTGTAGTTAGATGAAGGCATGAGTGTGATGGAAATCTGACTTCATTCATTCAATGAATATCTTTTTTTAAAGTCTTCTCTGTGCTAGGCATTAAGGTAGGCCCTGGGAATGTAATACAGTAGTAAGGATCCCACCTTCTGAGAATGTCAGAGATGAACAAGAGTTGAATAAGCAAGATAGAAGGTATGAAGTAGTACAACTAGGAAATGTCAGAGGGATGTGGGAGCTCGGTTGAGACACTTAACCTGGCCTGAGGCATTCCATAAGGCTTCTTGAAGAGTTGACATCTGAGTACTGAAGATGAGTACTAGTTAGGAGGGTAGAGAGAGGGAATGTAGAGATTGTGCAGGGCAGTGGATAGGGATGAAATTCTGGCTACATCACGGGGCAGATGTGAAGCAGGAGCTTCTGGTGGTTTGAATTTGCTCCTCAGAATAAGTGGGAGACACTGGAGAGAAGAAACTGGGACAAGCCGCCTAAAGCGCCGGCTCCAGGGGCCCTTGGCTCATTAGATGGAGACCGAGTCCCTTAGGGAGTTGGCGCAGGGTCCCTACAGCGGCTCCCGGCGGTTGTGAGCCACCGTCCAACACCAAAGGCCCGCGACGCGCCCCAACCGGCTCGCTCGAGCGGCCGCCCCGGAAGTGACGCGGAGCCCCGCTGACCTTGCGGAAGTGGAGATGGCGGAGCTCTACGTGAAGCCGGGTGAGCGCGGCCGACGGGCAGGGGGCGGTTGCGGCGCGTGGTGCGTAACCTGTCTCCCCCAGCCCCAGTGTAGCCCTCCGGTAGAGTCCCGGTCTCGCATCACACATCCCTCGCCTCCGCAGGCAACAAGGAGCGCGGCTGGAACGACCCGCCGCAGTTCTCTTACGGACTGCAGACCCAGGCCGGCGGACCCAAGCGCACTCCGCTCACCAGGAGGGTCGCCGCGCCCCAGGATGGCTCCCCCAGAGGTGCGTGGGAGCCTGTGCGCGGAGACTGGCGGAGGATGGGCGGGGTCAGGGATAAGCGTGCCCGAGGGCCTTTTCTTCGACAACTCCCTACGGAGAGGGGTTGGGGCCCCAGAAAGGGAGGGGCTCAGGGTAGGTACTTCGAACCCCCTCTTCTGTTGCTCAGGTCAATGTATGGTAAGTTGATTTAAAGACTGTATTTTCTTCCTAGGTGATCTCATCTAGGCCTGTGACTTAATATAGTTTTTCTGTTTATTTTCAAACTTTTTTTTTTTTTGAGTCAGTCTCACTCTGTCACTCAGGCTGGAGTGCAGTGGCGCACACTTGCCACCGCAGGCTCTACCTGCTGGGTTCCGGCGATCTTTACGCCTCAGCCTTCCAAGTAGCTGGAACTACAGGCGTGCGCTACCACGCCCGGCTATTTTTTTGATTTATTGTAGAGATGAGGGTTCGCCAGGTTGCCTAGGCAGGCCTCAAACCCCTCACCTCGGCCTCTCAAACTGCTGGGATTATAGGCGTGAGCCACCGTGTCTGGCCTTTAAGCTTTATTTCAAACATAGATCTCTTCCCAGAACCTCACAATGGTATATCCATTTGTTTATTCTACATCTTCTCTTGGGTATATAATAATCATCTTACACTCACCGTATTATTCATTTATTTACTCACTGTTACTTATTGAGTACCTACTATGAGTTAGGTATCAAGGGCCAACTACACAGCAGCAAAAGGTCTCTGCTTTCAGGGAGACCACACTCTAGCATTATAGAGACAGGTGAAATAGTGGTTAGGGTTCCAGAGAAATAAAACTTGGTAATAGGATAGTGACTGGGCACCTAAGTTAGGTGTCTGAGGGGCTGACATTTAAGCCACGCAAAGATCATGCACAAGAGCAGTCCAGACACAAGAAACTGCAGAAGCCCCGAGATAAGAACAAGATTGGCCAATTCGGAAACTCATGGGATACAGAGTGGCTAGAACATAATGGGTTTTGTAAACCAGGATAAGGAGTTTGTGGTTTAACTTACATGAGTTGGAACATTAAGGGTTTAAAGTAGAGAATTTTCCCCTGGGAGTTTTCCATTAAGTGGGCTGTGCTGTAGCCCCTAGAAAGGGGCTTGGGTTTGGTTCTTTCATTGGCCTCCATTACCCACACCCTCTTCACTGAAGAGGAATGATGTAAGGCAGGGTTTCTTAACCTTGGCACTATTGATACGTTGGGCCAGATAATTCTTTGTTATAGTTGACTGTCGTGTGAGTTGTAGCATGCTTAGCAGCATCCCTGACTTCTATCCAGTAGATGTCAGTAGCACCCACCCAGTTGTGATGGCCAAGTGTCTCCAGATACCCTGGGGGCACGATTTTCTAGTTTGAGAAACTGACTGATTTACATCTTTACAAGATCACTGTGTCTGCTGTGTGGAAGACAATATTTTAGGGAAGAGGTGGAAAGACAGAAGTCTGTTATGGTAATATGGGTAAGAGTTAATGATTTGCAGAATGGTGGGAGTCAGGGTAGTAGGAATTGGATGGATATGGATATTATTGAGAAAGTCAGTAGGAATGAGTGGATGTAGGAGGAATCAATGTAAGTTTTAAATTTTTGCTTGATCTGGTAAGACAGAGGGTTGGAGGTTTTGGGGAGAGGAGAAAAGCAAGCTGTTTTGGCCATGTTAAGTTTGAGCTGCTATTTTGGGGAGATGGCTGGCCAGAATAATAGAAACAAGTTATGGGTTTGGGCTCATTAGCATTCAGAATTGAGTAGAGAAGTGATCAGCAAAGATTGAGAAATGGCTAGAGAAGAAAACACGAAACAGCAGCAAAATCATGACTTGATGGTGAATGCTGTTGAGAGATCAAGAAAGATCCAACAAAGGACTGCTAGATTTGATAAACATAGCAATCACTGGTGACTACGACAAGAGCAGTCTCTGAAGTGGTGAGAACAGAAACTCGGCTGAATGGACTGAATGTGAAAAGTAGAGAGCATAATTACAAACAGCTCATTTAAGAAATTCTGGTCTGGGCTTGGTGGCTCAGCCTATAATAGCACTTTGGGAGGCCGAGGCAAGTGGATTGCCTGAGCCCGTGGGTTTGAGACCAGCCTGGGCAACTTGGCGAGACCTCATCTCTACAATAAATCAAAAAATTAGCCAGGTGCAGTCCTGTGGTTCCAGCTACTTGGAAGGCTGAGGCGGATCATCTGAGTCCAGCAGGTTGAGGCTGCGGTGGCCATAAGCATGCCACTGCATTCCAGCCTGGGCAACAGTGAAACTCTGCCTCAAAAAAGAAAGACATTCTACTGTGAAACAAAGATGAGAAACAGAGCAGTATCTGAAGATGGAATGTGAAATAAGGGAGGATTGTTTTTGATAGTCATATACTACAGCATTTTTGTATGTTGTTTGGGATGATTCAGTAGAGGAGAACTGATGAAGGAGAAAAAGGATAACTGCAGTAGGGAAACCTAGAGAAGACGAGAGGCTGGAATGCAAAGTATAGCTGGAGAGATAGCCCTTGATCGGAGCAAAACCTTTTCATCTGTTACAGAAGGAAGGCAGCCACAGATGCAGGTGGGTTATTAGAACTGGTGATGGGAAGATAAGAGTATTCCAGTTTAATGACCTCTATTTTCTCAATGAATTATGAGGCAGAGTCAAGTAGGCAGCAGGGAAAGGAAAAGAAGAAGGTAGGAAAGTTAAGGGGAGTTGAGATGTAAAAGTAGTTTTCTAAGAGTGGGAAAGTGAGGCAAAGTATCCAGGCAGTGTGTGGTACCTTTTAAAATGTATGGCCACGAATTTAAAGTGAGCTCATCAACATGGTTCTGTTTTTTCTCCCAAGTATAGGTTAAGTTGGGTTTAACTAGGAAAGTGTACAGTAGGAGGAGATGAAGGTGCGAGTGTTTATAAGGGAGTGATTTTAACGCACCATGAAATCAAAGGAGCTGAGCTGAAAGGGTAGGAGGGGTGATCAAATTTTGGAGGTACAAGTGTTGTTATGAACAAGGCAGAGGGGAATGACAGGTTGAGATGAGGTGGGGGAAAAAATGAACATTGGAGGTAAAGGTGGTCAAGTAACCGAGAGGCCAAATTATTTGATGAATTAATCATCATTGTGGATACTCCTGAAAGTAAATTCTTGACTTTTCCCCTCCAGCCTTCTTTCTCATTGAGAAATTCTCATTACTAAAGTAAAAACCCAAGAGTTATCTTGACTTCTCCCTCATCCCCAATCCACCAGTTCCTGTAACAACCTTCTCCTAAATGAATCTCAGATCACTCCATTTTCCCTCATCTGCTCTTTCACCCTAGTCCATGCCACCATTGTCTCTTTCCTGGACTATTCCATTAACCTCCCAGCTGGTGTCCTTACCTCCGTTCTTGACTTGTTCTCATCGGTTTTTCACAGAGCATGTAAGTCTGGTCACATCACTCCCTTGCTTTTATAAACTTGAGAGGCTTCCCAGTACCGTTTGGCTCATGACAATTCCTCCAAGGTCCTGCAGGGTCTGGACCTCTCCCACTTACCTTTTTTGTGACAGATGATATTACTTTCTTTAGTGTTAATAATTTTCAACCAGTCTCATTTCTGTGCCTTGAACAAGTCTTTTTTTCCTGACTCTTGGGCACTGCCCTTACATCTACCTAGTACATGGTTCTTCAACTCTTTGCAGCTGCATCTATCTTATCCATTAGTTTTCAACTTAATAAAAACAGCTTTGTATTTTTTGCTACTCACTAGTCCAAACTGTTCTTGTGTGTTTTTGTTTTGTTTTGAACAAGAGTCTCATTCTGTCACCCAGGCTAGTGCAGTGGCATGCTCATAGCCACCTCAGCCTCAACCTGCTGGGCTCCGGTGATCCTTCTGCCTCAGCCTTCCAAGTGGCAGGAACCACAGGCGTGCGCCTGGCTAATTTGATTTATTGTAGAGAAGAGATCTTGCCAAGTTGCCCAGGCTGGTCTTGAACCCCTGGCTCAGGCAATCCTCTTACCTCCACCTCCCAAAGTGCTGGGATTACAGGTGTGAGCCACCACACCTGGCTGTTCTTTTTTTTTTTTTTTTTGCTGTAAAAATAGTTTATTTGTTCTAAAAAAAATACTGTAGTTGAAAAGTACCTTCCTTCTGGGATTTTCAAATTCTTTGCGCATTTCCTTGTATTCTTCCAGGCAGCAGAGTGTTCTTATGTTCTTAATCCTCATTGCAACCCTTAAAATAAGTGCCATTATATATATCCCCATTTTATGGAAGAACCCAAGCCCAGAGTTTAGAAGTAACTTGCGGAAGGTCACACAGTGGGTGAAGTGGGTTAAATTTAGATGTCACCTCAGAAAGCCTTCCTTGAACACTTACGTCTAGATGGTCCCCCTATTCCTTTTTACATCATTCATTTTATTTGTAGCATGTAATATAATTTGATAATTTTGTTTTATTCCCCCTCCTAGAATTAAACTTTCTAAGGTCAAGAACCTAATGTGTCTGGTTTACTTTTATATCTTTGGTGTTTAGTACGTTGTCCAGCATATATTAAGGACTTCATAAATACACATCTTTAAATGAATTGTCCTGGAGAGTGGCCCTCCTTAAAAGGGTGAACTTAGAGTTATGCTTCTTACCTATTTAAGCCATGCTGCTTGATTCTGCTTTACCTTTTCAGTCCCCACCTCAGAGACTTCCCCTGGGCTCCCCCCAGTGAGGCCTCCACTTCCTTCAAGTAAGGCTCCCAGGTCCCCACCTGTGCGGATTTGTCCTGCCTCTGGTGCGGAGTCCACAAGTTTCCCAGTCATCAGATCTGAGGCTCTGATGGAGGATGTGCTGAGACCTTTGGAACGGGCATTGGAGGACTGCCGTGGCCACACAAAAGTAAGCACTGGCATACCAGAGGGTGGAGAGGGCCCCCATCGACAGTCAAATGCAAGTGTGGTAGGCATTGTGACTGAATGGGCACTGGCTTTTAATCCTTTTAGAGTTGTAGCCTTCTTCAGAATCTGCCAAGGCCTTCCCAGAGAAATGAACACAGGATTTCCGGGGATTCACAGGACTTCTGAAAAGAAGTCAGTAGAACAGGCTTGTGGGAACAAGAGTTAGATTCAGCTCCCATTAGTGAACTGCCTGATTTTTGTGTACCTCCAGGCCATTCAGAACAGACCTTGCTGATTTTCTGCTCAGGAAATTTATGTCATGCTTAGTCGGGGAAAAAGAAACCCCCCTTCTATCTACAGTGTTTCCCAAGTTCTCTGGAAAAAGATCTGAAGAATGTCTTAAAGGGGAAATAGCAACTTCACCTCTTCGGCGCTTACTTTCCTTATTTATGAAGTAAAATTATAGGATAAACTTCTGAGGATCTTAGAAGCCTCTGAAATTTAACAATTCTAGCCATACATGCATTCTTGGAAAGAGATCCATAGGTTTCATCAGGTTCTTAGTGGGGGCCTCTCACCTTTGGGTAAAGAACTAGAACTCTAAAGATTTTAGTGTAAAGTGGGCCAGAGAAAAGCAGGTGCTTCCTATGTGATGCTGCTTTTCCCTCCCCTCAGTAAGGTGGCAGCACTGAATTGGAGGGGGCTTCTGTCTCTCAGAAGCAGGTATGTGATGACATCAACCGACGCCTGGCACTGCTGCAGGAACAATGGGCTGGAGGGAAGTTGTCAATGCCTGTAAAGAAGAGGATGGCTTTACTAGTGCAAGGTATGTGTGGGCTCCTTGTTTATAGCCTTAGTCCCTTGTCCTGCCACGTTTGGCTGAACTGGAACAGGTGCTGAGATTTTGATTGATTGGGAGGGGAGGCATGGAAGCTGTCTCTTTTTTACCCCAGGCAGCTTGCTCAACTTCTATCTCTCTTCAGAACTTTCAAGCCACCAGTGGGATGCAGCAGATGACATTCACCGCTCACTCATGGTTGACCATGTGACTGAGGTCAGTCAGTGGATGGTGGGAGTTAAAAGATTAATTGCGGAAAAAAGGAGTCTGTTTTCAGAGGAGGAAGCCAATGAAATGAATTCTGCGGCTACAGCTGAGAACCAGACCATACCAGGCTTTCATCAGACTCCATGATCCTGTGGGTTCCCCAGACCCATCTGACACTATCTGCTATGTCTTGGTGTGGGAGGCTTTTTCTCACCTGGTTCCTTCTTACCACCAGAGAGACTGTCCCATTGGGCCTGAACCTGCTCTGTGGGTAAAGGTCCCACCTAGGCCACAAGAAAATCACATGTTACCCATTGACATATGCATTTCAATAAAAACAACTCAGTGGTGGACGTTGGTTGGGAGAAATGAGCCCTTCCTATGTCAAAACTAGCCCTCTTTGTTTTCCTCGACTGCCCTGCTTCTTGTGTACCCTGCACGCCTGTGTTCTTCATCCATTTAATTATGAAGGGTCGTGTTGGGTGCAACCAGACTGCTACCTACTACTTTTCCCAGAATTAGACTGAAAAGCACCCCTTGGACAGAGCAACCCTGTCTTTGGATGACTTCATTTCAGCATGAGAACAGACTCAAAACAGTATGGGGAGACTTCTCCCTCAACAAAAAGGTTGTCTTGTTTGTACTGTATCACTCTTGATATATATAAGTGCTAAGAGATTAGGACCACACTGAGCAGGACTTTGCTATATAAGTTGAAGGAGAAAAAAACCAGATTACTGAGATTTGGATTCATACCTCTATCTAATTCACCAAACAAGCTGCTGCCTCATTTTGGGCTTCAATATGGGCCTTAAGGCCTCTTCCAACTCTTTGACAAGAACAGAGCTAGGTGGAAGGGGCCAGACAGGTGTTTGGTGGATACCATGCTGAAAGAAGGGAGGGTACAAGGTTTTCAGTGTTGGAATAGGGAGATTGGTACTTACAGGTGGAGATTAGTACTTACAGGTGGGAGGCAGAAAAAGCATGGGGAGTGGCTGAGGATGGCTATAGGCTGGGATAACACCTCTTTTCCAAGAATTCTGCTTTGGAATAGATAGGGGAGGGGTTGCTGGGGAGACCCAGTTCCAGGAAGGCTGCTTCTTGGGAAGATAGGAAAAGCCCTTGGCAAGGGCCAGGCTATTGCTGTTTATGGTTTGACAGCTCTTGTAGCCTGTCCCTATAGCCTACCTCAGGTGTTTTTTTTTTTAAGACAGTCTCACTCTGTTGCCCAGGCTGGAGTGCAGTGGCTACAGGCTCACAGCCACCATATCCTTGACCTACTGGGTGGGCTCAGGTGATCCTTCCTCCTAAACCTTTGAAGTAGCTGGGACTACAGGCACGAACCACCACACCTGGCTAATTTTTTTATTTATTGTAGAGACAAGGTCTTGCCAAATTGTCCAGGCTGGTCTTGAACCCTTGGGCTCAGGCAGTCCTCTCACCTCCACCTTCCAAAGTACTGGGATTACAGGCATGAGGCAGTGTGCTTGGCCATCTACCTCAGATCCTAATTGCTACTGGGGCCTGGTGGTAGCTGGGAATGAACCTGGGTCCTCTGATCTTAACTAGGCTTGCTGGGATCTTCAGCTGTGTGGCTGAGATGGGAATATCAGCATTGAGGAGAACACTGGAGCCAAGGCTTGTCTCTGAATGTTTACTAAGCAGCCAGAGGGTGGTGACATACTCCATCCCCCTAGCCCCCAGCCCCTGAGCAAAGAAAGGGCTGGGGGTTGGGAGGAGTACCTACAGACCAAAGAGAAAGTAGAGCTAAGGGCTTGGCAAGTTGCCCACTCCTATCTCTGGTCTTGCTGCCTCAGAACTAAAGGAGGCCCAGAACCAACAAGTCACTCCCTTCCAGATTAGATGAGGCCAATTGGCCTTTGGATAGCCCAGGAAGAGGTGGCAGCAGCGGCATGAGGAGGGATCCCTCTATAACTCCACACATGGGGTCATCTGTACAGGATTAGATGTCCATTTCGAATTGTGCATCATCTGGAGAGAGAAAAAGGCAGGAGGGACTGGTTGCTGATTTGAGGGTCTGCAAGCAGCAGAAACCCTGCTTGGAATTGAACCCCATCTCTACTTGACAGGGAAATTTGAAGTCAAAGGCTGGGGCAGTTCTTAATTCTTGCTTTCCTTACCGAGTATCTCTTCCTCTGTCTTCTGCTCCTTCAGTTCCTCCAGCTTGGAGGGTGGGGCTGCTGGAGGAGTTGTGACTCCGGGAATCTGAGGGAGCCAGTAGGGGGGTGTCTGAGCAATGGGTGAGTTCTTGCACTCCAGCAGGAACTTTCGGTCGTAGATGATCCTGGTGCCTGTCAAGGGGTAGGGGCTGAGGTAAGAGTTCTGAGCTTGGGTACAGAGGAGATAGGGGCCCCAAACACAGGCCTTTTGGGGACTGGGCAGAGGTTTCACATTGCCCTGTGTATCAAAGGACACCTGCTCTGCTCTGTAATCCAGCTAGGCTCTCACCTTATAAGCCTTCATAGCCCTTAAAATCTTTCAGGCCTAACCAAGGTATGGCTAAGCACCATAAAGCAAATGGGGCATCCCAGCTGTCCAGGTGGGGGCTTTAGTTCTTGGCTTTAAGAGGAGCACCAAACTCAGAGCTCAGGCACTTCTGGCTGTTCCTCTAGTGCTCTGGAACTTACTTGTTTTTGGTTCACGAGGGCCTAGCCTTCCAGTTTGTTGCATTGAGAACCCAAATAATAGCTGTGAAGGGTTTCACTCACTGTTGCCACTTGGGCTATCATCTCCTGCAGAGAGGAGCTGTGTTTCCTTGTGAAACACAGGGACTTATGTTACTATTCTGACTCCTCCCAAGTCCTGTAAGGTTCAGCCTATTCCAGAGAAACTTGGCCAGCACAGTATCCTCAAAGGACCCTGCCCAGTTCTCCCCCCCTCTCCTCTGCTTCCACGTGGCAGGAACCTCTGGAGCCCAGCAGCTTGTGATCCCAGGCTGCTCGCCCATCTAAACAGCAGCCAGCCAGCTGCACATAACCAGAGCACCTGCCCCCAACTGCGCTAGCCACAAGACCTGGTGCTTCCTGCTGAGGCCACACACAGTCGGGCGCCTCAGCTTCTATTCCCATGCCAGCGAAATTGCTGCAAAGGTGGCCGTGTGCACAAGGCGCCCAGGACCAGCCCAGTGTAGGAGTTCGGCCCTAAAACCCAGAAGCCAGGCTCATAACCTTGTGGCATCACTTCGAGGTTTTTCGAAACTGAGCTTTGGCTCCGGACATCCTCCCCAAGGCTACAACCTGCATAAGAGCCAGTGAACGAGTCCAAGGCCTGCACCTCCCCACCCCCGCCCTGCGACAGCACACACGCGTTGGTTTGCCCTCTGCCTATGGCCCCCTGCCCAGCCGGCTAACCTCCTGGGGTAGTGGCGTACAGCGTGCCCCTCAGCGTGGTGCTGTAGCAATCTGGCAGCCGATCTTGGCCCCCAGGAATCAGGCAGCTCGTGGACGTGGACATGGCCAGCAGAAAGGTAACTGGCGTTTAGAGCGCTGATGGTAGCTCTGAGTCTGAGACGGACTCAGTCGACCACGTGCAGCCGCGCACAACACTACTACGACGTCATGCCCGGGGCGGGCTGCCAGCCGTCACTCAACCCGACAGTCCCTCCCTATCCGCTAGGGTGCAAATCAGGCTCAGAGATAGCTGGAAACTGTCCCGGGCGCCCCCACCGGCCTCTAGTTCCTCCTCGCCCAGCACTGACCAAACGGCCTCTGAGTGCCGCAGTAGGTTAGCTATTTACTGTTTACAGGTGTGCAATGGGAGCAGGTGAAGTAGGACAAGGGTTGCCTTCCTGTGTTAAACCCATTCCTCGCAGCAGTTTTGGACAGTAAAGCGCTATTAACAAGTCACACATCTTGTAGGAGGCGAAGCTGATTCAAACCTGAGTGCATCTATTTCCAAAGCTGTGTGCTGCCTCCCAGAAACAATAACAGTACAGGGTGCTGGCCTGGAGTGCAGCAGGAAGGGGAAGGTCAGGTGGCTTTCTGAGGAAGCTATGCCTAGAGGAATTAAAGGATGAGTAAAGGTTGGGGGGAGGGGAGGCAGGCATCACCAGTGGGGATGCCCACCCTTTGATCTCTCTGTCCAAGTTTACTAAGGAAGGGCAGGGGGCTGGTGAAGAGGGCTTGGTCTTTAGTTCTCTGGAAAGGAAGGTCAGAGAGAGTCTGGCCTTGGAGTTAAGATTTTATCCCCCCCTAATGTAGGCACAGTGATACAGTAGGCTGGAAGAGGTGGGAGAGTTAAGTACTAAGTCTAGTATCTATTCACACTAAAAACCTCAACTTCATCCACTTGTCCTCTGTTTGGCTTCCTCAAAATTAGTACTGCCCCCACTCCCACCCCCCAAAATTAAGTATAGTCCACCTGACTGCATGAATGTATCAATATTACTTCAGCTCTGGCTCCATAAGATTTTTCCCTTAGTTCTGATTTCTTCACTCATTCAAATAAGAAAGATTAGGTCAGTGCTTCTCAAATTGTAATATGCATATAAATCACTGGAGATCTTGTTAAAATGAGAATTCTGGTAGGGTAGGTCTGGGGTGAGATTCTGGATTTTAAATACAATCCCAGATAATGCAGATGATTCAGGTCCTCAGAATCAACTTCAGGTAGCAAAAGTGTGTATTTACTTCCTCTTGCAAAGTGTTTCATAACTAAATGAAGTGTCTTAGCAGTGCTTGAAGGATGAGGTGGGAGCAGATTGTGAAGAATTATGATAACTCAGCTTTTACACAAGGTGAGGAAGCAGTGATCTGATGGGTGAGGAAGCAGTGGTCTGATGGGGGAAAGGAAGCAGAGGACTGTGGGACTAAATGTGGAGGTGTCTAGTGAAATCAGGTAGGCAAAATGGCAGTGACTGTGGGGATGGACAGAAGTGCATGAGATTCAGATACACAGAGGACGAAGGAGAAGATGACTCAATAAGGGTGGGGTGAGGGAAAGCTAGGAAAATTCTCAATCTTTTGATATAAGAGTCTCGGTGGCTAGTAGTACCGACTAATATAATACAGAAAACAAGAAGGGGGCATATATTATGGAATGAATAATGTGTGTGGAATACCTATATGGAGCACAGTAAGAAGCTAAATACAGTACTGGTCTAGAACTCTGAGTTAGTGATTCAGATCTGAAATCTAAGAGTGTGGGATGAGATCGTCTGGAGAGAAGATACAGTGTAAGAAAAGGCCTGGACACATCAACATTTACCTGGTAGTAGAGAAAGGATTCATCAAGAGACCAGTCAGAAGAGAACTGGGAGAGAAGTGTCAAAAGTTTTCAAAACAGATTAGTGTGGCAGTGAGGTCTTTCTTTCTTTCTTTCTTTCTTTTTTTTTTTTTTTTTTTTTTTGAGTTGTAGTCTCACTCTGTCGCCCAGACTGGAGTGTAATGGTCGCTCCCGGCCACCGCAGGCTTAACCTGCGGGGCTCCGGCGATCCGCCTCAGCCTTCCAAGTAGCGGGAACTACAGGCACGCACTACCACACCCGGCTCATTTTTTGATTTATTGTAGAGATGAGGTCTTGCCAAGTTGCCCAGGCGGGTCTCGAACCCGCAGGCTCAGGCCATCCACTCACCTCAGCTTCCCAAAGGCACGGGATTACAGGCTGAGCCACCGAGCCCGGCTAGCTGTACTACAAAACAGCAGCAGCAGTTACTACTACTGTAACTACTGCTTGCAGCTAACTTCTGGAGATACAGAGATACTTTGTGCTATCACGGTGGAGAATAGGTAGTTGGTTTTAGAGAGAAAGGCAGATTCATAAGTTTAAATCAGAGGGTCAATACTTATTACCCATTAGAAGAATATGAAAGCTTTTTGTTGATGTTTTTAAAATGCCTATGCTTAGAGATCTGGTTGAACCTATATGGAAATACCAGGTCTCTGTTACCTGACAAATTGCTTTGGACTCACATCAATATCATCAAAATAAAACAATGTGAAAAGTAATCACAAAATAGATCACTTTATTACTACTGTGACTACTGCTTGCAAACAGATAATTTAATTCATGATCTTGTATTCCAAATTAGGTCTTTTTTTTTTTTTGAGTCTGGATCTCATTCTGTCCCATAAGCTGGAGTGTAGTTGCACAATCATAGCTCACTGCAGCCTCAAACTCCTGAGCTCAAGCGATCCTCCAGCCTCAGCCTCCCAAGTAGCTGGGACTATAAGCACATGCCATCAAACCCAAGTAATTTTTTTTTTTGGTAGAGGTGAGGTCTAACTATGTTGTTTAGGCTGGTCTCGAACTCCTGGGCTCAATAAATCCTCCTAGCTTCAGCCTTCCAAAGTGCTAGGATTACAGACATGAGCCCCCATGGCCAGCCTCCAAATTAGGCCTTGAAGCCCAAGCTCCAAGCCCTTTACTGGAGGTGGTGGTCTTAACATACTTAAGTTGTTTAATACTTAACCATCTTTTTCTCATCCACTGCCTACAGGAGAGAGTGAAATTGAAGGAACTTGCCTATTGGTAATCGGCAAATCATTGAGGATGAATACCAAATGCAGCATTATCAGTGTCCCTCACCTCAGGACAGGGTTCACTGGGAAGACGTCACAGCCAGCCACACTTCTTGGTTGAAGTGCTTCTTGCTAGTCAGAGAACAAAACGTTCAGAGGCTGTTTTCCTACCAGCTTGTTTGTCTCTGCCTGAGTTTACAATATGGTCCAAAGGTCTTAGTGGGACAGAACTGTGTATACCAAGTATTCCTTTTTGTTTGGCTTACAATCATAATGTAACTAGCTATCTGTAAACTAACTAGGGAGATTCCCCCACTTACACTGGTTTTGAGGTTGGGGGAAGGATTTGGCCAGAATCTACATGAACAGATGGAAACCATAGTTCCAAATCCTGAGATTTCTTACCTCTGGTTAGAAGAGGCCACCACTGGCTGTCCAACTCTTTTCTTCGGTCTGGTTAGTTGAGGTGATGGGATTTCCCCTTTGAGAGCAGGGACTGAAGGAAGCAGACTGGCCTATAAAAGGGCAAGTCAGCACACTGTAGCCACAATAGTTTAAAGGGTCTTAAAACATCAATAATTTTATTGGTAGTAAAATTTTATTATATTGAACACTACTTGAAATAGGTGGGTCCAGAAACCTTGATGATTATTGTTTATTACTTATTTAGTTTTTTTATTAGATTATTTAGTTTTATTACTTGAAAAGCTGTTACTCTAATGGGGTTTGATCTATGCCTTGCAAGATATTTCTTAATGACTTGAAGGCTCAACTATGGATGTGCAAGGTTTTCTTCTGTCTCCACTAAAAGCTCAATACTGACTCCCACAACAGCAGGCTTTTGATTCCTCATCAAAACCAATACTAGGGGCTCTCAAACCTCAGCACTGTAAATATTCTAAGGGCTGCTAGTATTCCCATGCCTTATATTTTCAAACACAAGAAAAAGAAGAAGAAAATCTGTGTTAGAACTAGAAGACTCTTTCGAGTTCAGTTTTATTTTCAGATGAGAAAAGTGAAGCCCAGAAAGGTGAAATGACTTGCCTAATGTCACAAAGCTTCAAGTGGCAGAAATGAAAACAGAATTTGGACTTCTGACTCTTGTTCCACTGTACCATGCTGCCTCCCCCCATACCCCTTGTACATTTTTAAAGTAATTAAGTTCTTACCTGAGCTAGGTTTTATCCAACGTTCGGGTTGGTAAAATAGTAGTAAAGTAATGCCAGGAAGAGGCAGGCAGAGGAAGAAGAGATATAGCAGGCAAAATGAGGTTGGGAGTAGACTACTAGGATCCAAATACAAAGAAAGGAAGGAAGTGCTGGTATAAAGAGGGAAGGGGGACGTATCCTAAAGAACTACTGCCAGCTGAAAAACTGCGTTTTCTTTCTAATTCTCCTGGAGGTTCCTCATAATTGCCTCCTTTCTCTTCATGTGTTCTAGTTCCTGACTTGAGATAAAATTTCTCATTCTCTTTTCCTCAAGGTGCAGAATATAGATTTTATAGCTCCTCTAGACAATTCAAATGTATTATAGTTTAATTTGAATAAAACTCACCTTTTTGTCCCACTGAATACTTTACTTAATATTATCTTTCACTAGTGTCAAGAGTAGTTTCATTCACTTCACTAATTTTAGATGATTTTTTAAAATTAGCGGTAAGTGCAAACAGGAGATATATAGGTGATTCAAGGGGTCTTTTGTCTCCCCCAACCCCTGCAAAGGTCAAAGGGCCACTTGAGGATACTTGATGTGGTTATTGATCACTATAAAGGCAGTAGCTTCAACACATGACACTTTCAAAATCCATTCATATTAGAAAATAAGAAATGAGCTTAATTTAAGGAAGCTTTCTCAAATGTAAGACAATATAGAAGATAAAAGAAGCAGGCTGTGCCTAACATAAAACATCATGTATCTGATGTGGCACTGGCTTTAGGACCTTGGCAGAGAAGATTAAGAATTCCTGTTGGCATGAGAGTAGAAAAGTGCTGCAAGTACAGTTCTGTCCCTAGTTTTTTTCTGTGCATCCTTCTTTGCCTTGATATGAGTC